GAAATGAGATGTGATTAGTAAATTGGAATCATGTCCAGATTTAGTCTAACCGAGGTCTTTCTTCCTCCCTGTAGAATGGTAAGTCAGACTGGGCTGATAAAGAGTAGACATACTTGATATTAAAGACTGGCAACATTTAAGAGCCCTGTAAAACCTCAAAACAGGAGAAAGAACCCAATCTATGACGTGGCTGGAAGGCCCACTGGCATGGGTAACGTACCCAAAAATGACAAAGATTTTGGCCACGTGGATGCCTCTCTGTTCTCACTGAGGCAGGAATCTTGCCTTCCCTAGTCCATAATATACCTTCTAATATTATTAACACTCAGGAATCAACCGATTTATAGTCCAGTGCAGGGTTCCCAGTCTTGTTTTTTTTTTTTTTTTTGAGACATATAGGATGGATGATATTCATATACACAGTATCTTCTCTAAAGCATCCTCAGATTTTGACAAAACATTCAAAAAATAAGCATGCTAATAATTCATTTTCATCATATACCATATTCATATTTGTCATATACTGAAGATTTCAGGCAGCATGAAGAGTGGTAAGTCCAGCCCATTCTTGCCCCTTCATAAAAGTATTTGGGAATGCAAATGACCAAGAGTGAGGGTCAGGAACAATATTGAACAATAATGAATTTTTTTGTATTTTTTTTTTTTGGAAAAGAACAATATTGAATTTTTTTTGTATTTATTTTTTTGGAAAAGAAACTGTTCATAAACTTTGGTATTTCAGCTCCTGTAATAACAAATTACTTGCTACACACTGCTCAACTGCTCTGGACATACCATTGTGTCTTGACATCATGGTGGAGGACTCTTGGTCTAGGTCAGTATTCCAAACTCAGACCGTAGGTCCTGGGTTAAGGAAGGGAAACTTGGAATTATAGGAAGGGATCCATGAATCCACGGATACATCAAGCATTACAGCGCTCTAAATAAAAAGCCTGTCTTGTGTGTACATTACCACTTTTCAAACGTGCACAGGTTTATAAGAATTAAAAAAATTCAAATAATTTAAAAACTTTGCTGAATTCATAGTAGCTCTTTATCATTATACGTTTTTCCAGTCAAGAATTATCAAAAGTACAATCTTAACATGGTTAGGGGCTACAGTAGAGAGTGTAGATAAAAATAACCAAGGTTTCCAATGATATATAAAGGTCTATATTTTAAGACAGGGAAGTGGACAAAGGACAGCAGCAGGAAATTAGGCCAGTGTTTCTCAAAGTGAGGTCACTGGACTACCGGCATGGAACTCTCTAGAAGTTGCTGGTCAAAATCTCTAGCGGTGGGGATCCTTCATGAACTCTCTTAATGAGTCCAACTAAGTTTGAGAATCACAATCACTGGTTTAGAATGCATTATAAAAAATGCTTCTTTAACACACAAATAGTAGTGAAATATTACCAAGTATTCTCCAAGAGGTTTTAAAAGAAGAGAGAGAAATATGCTTGCCTGATGGCAGGACCATGCACAGATGACCCATATTGAGGGACCATGATGTCCACTCCCAGACCATATTTGAGGCATTTTTCTTGGTCACTGGAGTATATTGGAGACAAGGTTCAGAGAGGGCATGGGATTCCCCACATAGTTATAGTCTCTATGTTGTTTTCCAAAGCCCCCAGAGGGGTTGGAGGCTTGCAAACAGGAAGATGATGGGCTTTGCCAAAGTAACAATTAGATAATTAAATTATTCTGTTTATAGACTTTATAGAGATCTGAAAATACCACCCACCTTTCTCATGGAGGGACTACAGGAAGCTCTCCGCAAAGACAGATTTTAAAAAATGGCTTCTTGGCAATAGTTTTAGCTTAGAAATAGCTAAATTATTGATTAGAAAGAGAATTACTGTCAAATCTCTTTAAGACGCTATGACAATATCTAGGAACAAGAATTCTTTTTTATAGGAATCTAAAAAACAAAAGCACAAACAAACCCCCAAACACACAGACTTTTGAGAATTATTTAGGAGGCACTGAAAACTCCAAGTTAAAAATAGCCTTTACCAGACCCAAGGAAGAACAAGTAGAATCAGTGAATAACAACAAGTATCAGCTTGTAAAAATCCTTTAAGTTGTGTCGCTGGGACAAAGATGGCAAGACAGTTGAGCGGTCAACTCCACAGTTCATGGTCATGGTTAGGAGCACAGAACCTGAGATCAGATAGACAGACCTACTATTTAATCCTAGCTTCACCCCTGAGCAGTTTGTGTGGCCTGAGCAAGTGACTGAAGTCTCTGAACCACAGTTTCCTCATCTGTAAAATGGGAATAATAACAGTGCCCTGCTCTGACTCTCTCTTACAGGTCATTAATTGTGAGGGTGAATCAAGTGAAAGCAGTCAGGCCACACTAACTGCACAGAGTAAGTCCTGATGCATGTTAACAATAATTGTTAACTCTGTGTAGTTAACAATATTTCTACTATAACTATATTTCTACTACTTTTTACTACAAACCAAAGATTTTCTGTAATGCCAAGATATTCAGGGCATTCAGAAAGAGATTTTTCTGGGATGAGGGGAAGAGAGGTGTTTGCTCAACAGCATTAAACTAGTGGGTTTAAATTCTGCGTGTCCTTGGAGTCCATCCTGTGACATTAAACCTTCCCCCGGGACTCCTTCTGTTCCTGACTTCCCATAGCACATATTCCCCCTGTCTCAACATTTGCCAGCTTATTTTATTCTGTCTTAGATTTTCTTTCAATGGTTTCATGAGTACAAACTCCATCTCCCCAGCCAGACTGTAAATTTCTCCTGGGTTCAGTTCATACCCTACTCCTTTTGCCCTATCTCTTAGAGCTTGACGTGCAGTATGAACATGAGAGAGAAACAGAAGTAAGACTGTGTATATGTTTAGATGGCTCTCAGCACTCCTCCTCCCCCTCCTCTAAGTAACAACAATGATAATAATTAGATTAATAATAAACCCTCTGGCTTTTGAGGGTCCCTGGGCCTGGCACTGAACTGAGCTCTTTAAATACCTTCTCTCACTTGACTCTTGACCCTCGACAGCACCGCAGGAATGAGCTGCTGAGAGAGCCACGAGCAGAACAGCAAAGCAAGGGCAGCTTTGCAAGCCCTGATCACTCACTCAGCCAAGTTCAGAATACAACCAGCAGGGTGTGGTTACTTCCAGGTCTTTTTTTGTTGTTGTTGTTCCAGGTCTTTGAATGAAAGATACCAACCCCATTTACTTTTTCCCCCAACACAATCCAACTGATGGTTCCAGTGCCCCTATTGTCATTTGGGCTCCCAAAGCAGAGACTCTTCTGGAGAGGAGGCATGTACTACCTCTGGGAGGCAGAGTTTGAGCCCTGTCCCTACCACATGTTTCTGACATGTCCCTTCAAGGTTAACTACAACCTACAGTGAGAAATACATATTATACTGCAACTCAGACATATGTCCCAAAGATTTTTATGAAATAATGCTTATGTTCACGTGAGGCCTTCTGAGATTTTCCTATTCTATTTCATTCCTTCACTGAAAATGAGAATGTGAAGAAATCGGAACCCATATATATCACCAGTGGGAATGCAAAATGGCATAGTCTCTTTGGAAAACAATTGGGCAATTCCTCAAAATCTTAAAAGTAGAGTTATCAAATGATCTAGAAATCCTACTCCTAGGTATATGTCCAAGAGAAATGAAAATGCACATCCGTACAAAAACTTGAACATGAATGTTCATAGCAGCATTATTCATAGTAGCCAAAAGGTAGAGATAAACCGAATGCCCATCAACTGATGAGTGAATAAACAAAAGCAATGTATATCCATACAATGGAATATTATTTAGCCATAAACAAGAATAAAGTACTGACACATGCCATAGCATGTGAAACCATTATGCTAAATGAAAGAAGCCCAGTCACAAAACACCGCATACTACATGATTTCATTTATAGGGATTGCCAAGAACAGGTAAATTTATAGAGATAGAAAGTAAATTAGTGGTTGCCACTGGGAGAGAAGGTGGGACAAATAAGGAGTGGGTATGGCTTTCTTTTTGGGGTGATGAAAATGTTCCAAAACTAAATTGTGGTAATGGTTGCAAAACTCTGTGAATATATAGAAAAACACTGAATTGTACAATTTAAAGGAGTGAATTATATAGTATGTGAATAAACCTGTTTAAAAATGATGGCTGTGACCCACTCAATTGATTTCACCACCCCAAATGGGTCTCAACATGATTGAAAATTATTGTTCTAGAGCATACTGCCCACCCCCCTGCCCCCACCTGCGCCTGTCCTCTTCATGAGAATCACGGCTTGACCTGGAGAGTTGGGGAGCCTGCAGTGTTTGGGTGGGCGGATGGACAGGCAGATGGAGAGGGGGTGAACGTGTGGAAGGAGGGGTGAGAACCATCTGTGGCAAAATAGCCATCATCCTTCTCCGGTTAAGGAATCCTGACTGCATTTTCAGCAGCACATGCACAGCAAAAAGACCATGTTGCTCAGTCTCTCCAATAGTTGGGTGGCCAACAGAGCCTTGGTGAGATGTCTAGAAGAGCTCTGGAAGGGGCTGACTCAGCCAGGATGGATGCCCCTTTGGTCCCTCACCCCTTCTCTTCTCCTTGCCTTGATTCATTCAAACATGATGGCTCAATCTCTGGAAACCACCTCATGACCCTGGGAGTGGAGGGCAGTCCTAAGGCTGTCAAAGCAAAGGACATAAGGGGACTGGGTCCCTGATGCCTTCTTGAAGCTACCTGGGCTGTCCACCTCTGTACTTCTTTTATGTAACTGAATAAATCCTGAATTTGCTTATGCCACTGAGTCGTCTCTGGTATCAGCAGCCAAAGGAATTTCAAAATGATATGTCATCTAAATGAAGAAAAATTCCCCTCTATCATATATGAGCCAAGGATAGACCTTTCAAGAAATAGCAGCTACTCTCCCACCCAGGCCTTTCTGCCTCCCTTGCCTTCTGGAAGAACCTCTCCTTGAGTCCCAGGTCTGAAGGGAAATGAGAACCCAAATACCTTGTGATTTTAAATATCCGCAGCAGCCGGACACATCTCAGCACAGAGATGCCCAAGGGAGACATGATCTTGGTCTCCACCAGGATGGTCTCCAGGATGCCCCCGCACACGATGAAGCAGTCGAAGCGGTTGAAGAGGGACACAAAGTAGGCCTGCAGGCCTAGGCTGTACATTTTCAGCAGCATCTCTGCGGTGAAAAGGGCCAGCAGTGCCTTGTTGGCCGTGTCTGGTGGGGTCAGGCAAGGGGGCAGGATCCCAGCACGGGGGTGATGGGAGGAGGAAGGCAGGAGGAGGAGAAAGAAAACAGTAATTATCACTGCTGGAAAAAAAGCACAGATGCTCCCTTTCCTGCCAGAACACCTCGCCCCTCTGTTGCTGCCAGAACAGAACAGTTGGGGCCAAATCTCCAGAAAAGGGGTATCTAGTTATAATCACAGTAAACATGATCTACCATGCATCAAAGGCTGTGTGTGCTGATCTTCTTTCCTTCTTTACTGGCTGCTTTTTCAGAGATGAGGAGTGAGGTTCTGAGAGGTGAGTACTCTGCCCAAATTGATCAGCCAAAAGGGGGAGCCAGGCTACCCAAGTCCACTCTCTGCACTGGGAGACCATCCGCTTTCCAGGGTTCTGGAATGCAGCCCCCATGTCTGCTTGACTCCCTGGGAGTGGAGCTGAGGCACTGGCTAGGGAGGTCCTATTCTAGGGCTCCAGGGAAGGGTGGGGGTAGTAACTGCCCATGGAGGACAGCTCCTGGTGCTCAGGCCATGACTGTCCTCTTTCCTGGCTTTTTGCTCACCTCATCCACACATGTTCTGGCAGGCCCACCTGCAGGCGACAGTAAGGCCTGAGGTATTGAAAACCCATTCTGGGAAGTTGGCAGCCAAGAGTCTGAGATAGCCAAACAAGGGGCAGCATGTGTCCTTGTCACCTGGACCCAATAGTGACTGTTGGGCCAGGCAGACCGTGTGGGCCCAGCCAGGTGAACCACACCTCTTTATAATGAGGTGGTGCATTTTACTATGGGACCTGCAAGCTTGTCAGCCCTTGGCATCCCCAGCATGGCATTTGCCAAGAGCGAGGGACACTTCCCCTGCCAGGGTGGCTTTTCTCGTCAACCTTGTGCCTGTGACTATTCCCTTCCTGGGATTCAGGGCCGAGTTGGCAAGAGTACAGAAGGATAGTGCTGGGGGCTTCCTCTCACCTTGCACCTCTGTGAGCCAGTGGGGCTGGTTGTAGTGTTCCGAGGCGATGGTGAGCGTGTTGAGGAACACCAGGAAGATCACAAGCCAGTAGAAGACATTAGACTTGACTGCAGCACGACACTTTCTTCTGCAGAACCGGTTCCACCGGCGCCAGTAGCGGCTGGAAAAGGAGCAAGGAGAGAAGGAAGGGGGCAGGGCGGAGGGGGCTGTGAAATCTGAAAGACGCCATCGTGGTTTCCTTTCTCCCCTTAATGGACTTGGCCTCAGCAGAGCAGTGCAACGTGGTGGCGAGGAGATAAGCTTCCGTCAAGTTAACCGGGCTCTGCCACTTACTTGTGTGTGTGGCCCTGACCCTTCTAAGCTTGGGTTCTCCCATTTGTAAAATAGGAATAGGGGCAAGCTCACAGGGTTGTTGTGGGGATTGATAAAATACCATATAATGCATCTGGTATAAATATGTATTTTTAATTTATAATAATGACATTATTCAAAATTGTATTGCACAATGGAAGAGTATTATTAGTAGTGATGATAGTAAGTAGGACTAGTAATGGTTACCATTAATGAAACCTCATCCATGCCTGTTACCATACTAGACACTTCTCATGCCTTCTCTTTAATTTAACCCTGCAAAGCAAGCACTACCCTGATGTTGAGGGTAGTGAGGTTGAGTACCTTGACCGATATTACATAGTGGCAGAGCCAGACTTGGTTTTCCCCCCAGCCCAGTCTCTTGCCCAGATGCTATCTCATCTGTAAAGTGTTACAGGTGAATCTGAATCAGAGGTTCTTTGCTTTCATGGCGTTATGGAACATTTTGAGAATCTCATGAATGTTTAGCTACTTTGTTCAGAAAAAAACGAGCATACCCACACATACACACATCTCTATATACAAGTTCATGCAGCACATGGCCTCCTGAAACCTCGGCCGTGGTCCATATAACATTCTTTTGGTCTCTTGTTTAGGGACTTATGTCAATGACTCTCACACCTGGCTGTACATAAAATTACCTGGGGAAGCTTAAAAAAAATAACCATCAACCCTCACCAGGACCCAGACTCCAACTCCAAACCAACAAAATCTGATTCTCTGGGGGCTGGGTAGTTTTTAAAGCTCCCCAGGTTAACTATGGTTGAGAACCATTAAGCTAGATGATGCCAATTTTTAAATTCTATGGTGGAGGAGTTTAGAGCTTCCAGTGGAAAACCAAACAACCAACAAAACAATTTCTAGATCAGGGGAAGTATGAGAAATGCTCTTTTGGCCATGTGGATTGGAGATGATGAAGGCAGTAGCTTTATTAATGGAAAAGAGGACACTGAGTTGACAACGTTATTTTGAGACAGAATCAATAGGACTTTGAGCCTAACTGGATGCACAGGGTAAGAGAGAAAGGTATGGAAGGGACAGCCAAAATTTCTAGCTGGAGCGATTTGTAAGAGTGGCACCTCTAACCGTTATAGGTACAGAAAAGGAGAAGCAGTGCTCTGGGCAGGGAGGTTGCTATGAGGAGAAAGGTGGGGCGCTCAGCTCAGGAAATAGGTTTGAGGTGCTTGCAGGTCATGTGTGTAGAGAGACCCAGCAGGCAACTGGAAGGCAGCGCCCCTGTTCGGGTAATAAAGAAGGCAGGGGGAGGAGCAAAACAGCATCTCAGAGCAACAGTCCATGAGTATCTGTATTCAGGTTTGTATTCTAGGTTTGCAGAAATGCAGACCCCTGCTGCGATGGATCCCTCCACCCACCCCCAAAACGGCCTTTTGAGATAGCTTGACTTTATCTGTATTTTCACTCTGTATTTTCTATCTACTATCTGTGGAAAATCCTGTTGTCAAACTTTTGTTAGCATCTATTATGAGATGAGAAACGTGAGAAGTACATCTAAGAAGAGAACTCTTTCCTCAGAACGGCAGGGAGAACTTAGTTTTTGGCTGGCAGAACAGGGAGGGAAGAAAGAATTAATCAAATAGTGTTCTGATCTGACCCTAGCTCTTTGTGGGTGCTTGAATGCCATCTCCAGTGAGCGCTTATCCCTTTGCTGGGGACACTTATCTGCCACTTGAGGCTAATTCACTACCTGAGAAGAAGTGCATCAGGGTCAGAAAATTAAGGTTTCCAAATGCTAGGGAGGCTTACCTTCCCCGACATATCACCTTGGGTAGGAGTAAGGATGCAGGAGGGTGAAGAGAGGGACAAAGGATGGGATAAGGGGTCTTAGTTGGTCCTCAGGCTCCTCTGCAGTTTGCCAGCTCTTGGTACTGAGGAGTCTTATCTCAACAGGGCAGGACACTGCTTCTTTCCTGTCATTGTGGTTATTAATACTATGGAGAAATTTGGTACGACTATATTTTTCCTGAAAGATGAATTTTTCAGGACAAACTCATATCTGACCTTAAATAGCTTACATTGTAGTTTCAAAGGGTGTTTTAAATAGATACAATCTTTTGTTAGAGAAATCACGGATAATTGTTACTCAGAGTCCAAAGGAATGAAGTTTGCGTTCCTTTACAGTATGCAGAAATGGACTCAGAGTCAGTTTAAAACTGAGAACTTGATTAAGCTCTTTTCCCAAGTTTGGGATGTGGGGTGCCACATGGTCAGGCCTGTCCCATGGGTCTAGGACTGTCTGACCCCCTGAAGGAGTGGCTGTCAGAGGCAGGGTGGTAGCTGTCAAATGTGCTGTTCCTGTGCACAGCCATTCAGGGGAGTCACATGGATTTGGGCTGGGGTGGGGGTGGGGGTGGGGGTAATTACTATCCAGAGAAAGTATTTAAAGATAATTATACACCTCCCACTCTTCAAAATATAGCTTTGCTTGACAACTGGTTTCCTGGCAACGCTTCCTACGGTATAATAAATGTAATGATTTATTAGAATGTGTAAATTTATTTGTGTGTTTACATATGCATGGAGGATATAGAAATTAAATGATAAAATAGGGAGGAGAAATTTGCCTGCTATTCATGTTCCCTTCATACTAACTAGAGAAGTCATTTATTCTAGAAATAGAAGTTCCCATATGTAGACATAGGACAGAAGGGCGGATATGAATGTGCCTAATCTACTTCTTCAAAATTCTGTATCGTTGCAGTCCCATGGGAAATTTCTGCTCAACTCATCCTGGGATCCACCTTACCTCTTCCTAAGTCTGGGCTTTGCTCTTGCCTTTCCACCTACGTGGACTGTCCCCAAACTGTCAGGACCTCCCCTTTCTATGTCCTGCCCACTCTTTTTTTTTTTTTTAAGATTTTATTTATTTATTTGACAGAGAGAGACACAGCGAGAGAGGGAACACAAGCAGGGGGAGCGGGAGAGGGAGAAGCAGGCTCCCCGCTGAGCAGGGAGCCCGATGTGGGGCTCGATCCCAGGACCCTGGGATCATGACCTGAGCCGAAGGCAGACGCTTAATGACTGAGCCACCTAGGTGCCCATGTCCTGCCCATTCTTGAGGGCTCCTCTCAAGTCCCAGCTTCTCCATGGTGAACTTTTCTAGTCTGCCCAGGCTCAGAATTCCTGTCACACTTACATCTGCATTACTCATTTTAGGTATCATTAAAGAAATATTTATTAAATACCTATCCTGGGATAGGTACTAGATATTCATCAGTTAACGTGATAGTCTTTTTCTGCATAAAACTCATGTGGGCAATAAAGACACTTAAGCAAGCAATCAAAGAGTGTGCTTAGCACTATGGCAGGCTTTGCAGAAGTGCTGCAGGAGTGCACCAAAGGGCCTCCGAGCCAGTGGTGGAGGAGCCAGCAAAGGTTACTCAGAGGAAATGGGAACAGAGGAAATGGCTTCCCATTTCCCCATATTGTTGGTCATCTTTTACTGTGTGGTTCTTGCCTCTCCAGTGAGATCATAAGACCCTCAAGGGAAAGGGATTGTGTCTTGTACTTTGCTATAGATCCACAGTACTTAGTGCAGTCCATCTTACATGGTAGGGACACTTGACTGACAGCTTGGTAGAACAGCAGAGACAACTCTGCAGATTTACTAACTTCTTGCTGAAGACAAGGTTTGAGAGCCCTGGAGCTCTTGTGACCCAGGGATGAAGATGAGGGTGAGGGAGGGGCAGTGCTACTGAAAAAGTTTGCTTGGCACATAATTTTGGATAGGCATCTAGAAGAGTAGACAACATCAAAATGGTGGACACTTTAGGCTCTTTCTAGTGGCCAGAATAAGTTCCCATCTTTTCTTTGAGAACGAACAACACAGGAAATGTTTAAATTTAATTCTTTTATACTATACCTAAGTAACTTAGAAGGGACTATCAGAGAGTAGACAAATTTGGATATTTGCCTTGTCCCAGCTGCTCATTTCACTGAAGATGGGGCAAGACAGTCCTCCCAAATTTTAGAACCCCATGGGATTCACCTCAGAACTCCATAAAGTTAAGATCTGGAAACTCGACAGATTATCTGATTAATCCCTGCAAGTTGCACAAAACTTTCTACATCATTTGTTCCTTAACTGTTTAAATCCTATTCTGAACAGTTAGCCCCAAATGCTGCAAAATTCCTTATTGTGACTAATTCCTCCAAGTGGAGACTTGGCTTACCAAAGGAATACCCTAATATCATAAGTCAATTAATTTGCTGAATTTCCCCTAAAATCTCTCTTCTAGTATTTCTTTTAAGTAAACTGTGATTTTGCATCATTGAGTATTGCAAATGTAATAGGCTGGTTGGAAACTCAAATTGTCTTATTTGTCATTGTTAAACTGAGAAAATGATCAGGATACTTTAATTTTTTTTTACCTCAAATTTTAGAATCGTTTTTAGAGTACAGCAGTCTCTTCTCTGCTTACAAGGTTATTTCTGAGTTGCAAAAATTCTCTCTCCATTTTCCCTCTATACTACGCTTTTCAGTCGTGGCTGCCACAACCAAAAAGGCAGGAAGTATGAGGAGACATTCTTCTCACATCTGTAGTGGAAACCTTTGCAGCAGACAGAAATGGCTCTGGGTCTACTTTGATAATTTTTTTTAAGATTTTATTTATTTATTTGACAGAGAGAGACACAGTGAGAGAGGGAACACAAGCAGGGGGAGTGGGAGAGGGAGAAGCAGGCCTTCCACTGAGCAGGGAGCCCGATGTGGGGCTCAATCCCAGGACCCTGGGATCATGACCCGAGCTGAAGGCAGACACTTAACCACAGAGCCACCCAGGCGCCCCTACTTTTTTTTAATGGCATTTTCAATCCATTGCCAGCCTTTGATATTCCTTAAATATACACCATCTGTGGGCTGTAGCATCTAGACTAGAGGGCCCCCGTTTGCTATCTGCTCAGACCTTTTAGGGCCACATGGTCTGGTGCAGTAACTACTAGCCACATGTGGCTCTTGAGCACTTGAAATTGGCCAGTCCAAACTGAGACACATAGTAAGGGTAAAACACACTGGATTTCAAAGACTTAGTACAAAAAAAAAAGAATGTAAAATGTCTCATTAGTAATTCTTATATTAATTACATGCTGCAATGATAATGTTTTAGATACACTGGGTGAAATGAATTATATTAAGATTAATTTCACCTATTTCTCTTTACATTTTAATGTGGCTACTAGAAAAATTTAAAAAGTCTTAATGTGGCTCATATTATATTTCTATTCCAAAGCACTGCTGTAGAGCTATGGGCCCATGCCTAAGATATAACAGTTGAGCAGAAACAGGGTTTAGTATTCCTGGACAGAACCTTTCACTAGGCTAGCATGGTGGTTAGTAATACGGGTATGGGTTCTGACTCGGCCAGATGTGAACATGTGACCCTTGGCCTCTCTCAGCCTCAGTATCTTCATCTGAAAACGGGTTGAATGATAGTGCCAAACTACTGGTAGTACACATTTTGGGAATACAGTTTTCTCTCTGTACGTTTTGGGAATACAGTTTTCTCTCTGTATTTCTCTTGTATCTTGAATAGTAGCAGCAGAGGGAGAAATCCTTCTTAGAGATCCTATGGCTGGAGTACAGGAGGTTAGGTAGACAGCAGGTTGAGCTGAGTCTCAAAGCTTAGCAAAGGGTCCCAAGGTTTAGGGGGGGCACTGTTCCTTTCCTTTGTCAAAAGTATGGGTTGTACCATAGGTCACTGGATAGAAAAATGTTCCCAGAATCTCCTGGGCAATCTCTTACGAGACAGAGTGCATACAAAGATGTCATTTCTCTTCCAATCCTTCAGATTATGTTCATTCATTTGTTCACTCACACATATGTTCATTTATGATTCATTCATTTGCAGGCAATGAGAATGATATTTTGGAAATATTTTCAAATGGATTTTTATATCCCTTTACTCTTACCGTGTGGGGGATTTAAAACTGCTAGGAACACAAAGGGCTTTCTCAGCTTTGGCTGTCAAATCAGACATTTTGTTTGAGTCTGTGTAAGCCTATTGTCTTACTGAGGCAAGACCACTCATTCATTCATTCGTTCAGCAAGTATTAATTCAGTCCCCATTATGTATTAGCCACTTCCCCAGACACCGGAGATAAAGCAGTAAAATCCAAACACTATCAAGAGAGAAAGGATTTTTTATATTTCTATAACTCTCTTTCATGTAATAAGGGCTAGGCCTGGTAGACTTGACCCTAGATTTTTTAATGTAAAGGAGGTCTTGGCTTGAGAGAAAAAGGAATGGGAGAAAGGTCTACATTTTCCAATTCCAGTGAATTATGGGAGAAAGAAGGTATCAGAAATAGAGGTGAAAGTCAGATACCAGAGTCCTCACTTAATTCTCAGCCCTGGGTGCCAAGTCTCAAGAGATTGCAGAGGGTTGCTTTAGAAACACCCAGATAGTCATTGGGAGGCTCAGGTATGCTGAAGCTAGTGGATAGCCTCCACTGGGTGTAGTATGGGGGGTTGTCTGCAGGCCCTTGGGAGAATGTCAGCCTTTGGCTCAGAGCTCTATTCAGGCTGGTGCAGACAGCAGCAGGTGGCAGAGAGGTAGGTGAGCCTGCTATAGTGCTCTGGGGTCCCCAGAACTTGTTCATGGAGTGTGAAGGACCTGGAAGTGTCCACGCACTCAGATGAGGTATGGAGGTGCTGAAGTCAGTGACTGACAGAGCTTGGGGGTCAGACAGCAGAGATGGAGATTTCAAGATCAAATGTAAATATGGGGGTCATGGACCCCAGTGAGTGGATGTCCAAACCAGATGGGCTGCTGCACCCCAGTAAGGACCTGAAAGTTCAGAGAGAAGTCCAGACTAGCATTCAAACAGTGGAGATAGGCAGAGGACTCAGAGGGATTCCAGGAGCGGCCGTCACCAAGCCCTGTTTACTTTCCAGGATCTTGAAGTTCCCTGCCCCCATGCATCCAGACTCCATCCTGGAGAAAAGCTGGGGAAGTGGAAATATGAGAGACTGAACATTTTACCTTCGGGGACTATTTAAAGCATAGCATTGGGTTCCATTTACCCAGCTGGACTAAAATTTAGTGTTATTTATGTTCTTGCTACACAGTGTGTGAGGCTAGGGAAGCAAGATTAGATCAATTACAAAACATAAACAACCAATATTTTTGGCATGTACAAGCTTTGTGGGGGAAAATTCACATCTCCACTCCACAAATCCATTCATTCATCCATTCAACATATATGTATGGACAGCCTACCCCTGGGCAGGCACTTAGCTAGGTTCTCTAGAAAGAATACTTCTGAGGCATGCAGAGCCTACTGAAGGAGACAGGCCTGTGAGCCAATAATTGGAATGTAGTATGGTAAGTGCTGTTACAGAGGTATGAGCACAGCACTATGGGAGTGGAGGGAGGTGAGTAACTTCCCTGGAAGAGTTTGCAGAAGATGCAGATGCAGTAACATTTGAGGTTCTTAACAAAAACCTGAATTCTCCAGATGAAGACTTGTGGACACAGTGATTCAGGGAGAAGAAAGGCTGCATGGAAAGGCCTTGATGTCTGAGAGGACAGGGAACATTCTGGTGACTGCAAGAAGTTCCATGTGGTTGAAACAAAGAGTGTGCGCAGGGGAGTGCAGGAGGTGAGGCTGGAAAGGTAGACGCGGGGCTGAAGACCAGGGGTCCTGTGTAAGGTTCTGAAGCAGAGCAGTGTCGTGATCCTATGTGTTTTCCATAATCCTTAAAGTTCATTTCTTACTGTGTTCCATAAACATGAAGTAGGCAAGAATAGTAGCAAGTGTCCACATTATTTTTATTTTAACTGAACTTCATCTTATAAAGAAGGGAGACACATTAGGTCTCCCAACCTCCTAGGGATGGTACTTGCCAAAAAAGACTGGCAAAGAAAACTCAACAAATATCAACCCCTGAATTATATGTGGGATCTGATCTAAAAGTCTTTCCTTGGTAGCCATACAAAAGAGAGGCCTTTACCCCTTAGAAAAACACCCTCACTGTACCCACCCCCCCACCTGGTAGGTATTACCTTGGGCTACCCAAAAGTGTAGCTGGGGACAGAGCTGGTGTGCGGTAGGAAAGAAGAGCATGCATTTCACTCACCTGAACTTTGATTTGGAAATCCGGTGGCTGAAAGAGAAAAAGCAGATGTTACCAAGGGACACATATGCATATTCTTCCATTTAAAAGATGTTCAGCAGTCCCAGAGAAGTTTGATGGCCCTGGGTGACTAGAAATGGGTGCTGGATGGATGTGAGGAGTGAAATAGAATGACTCTGGAGAGAGAGAGAGAACCCTACTTGTCAGCATCTCTTGGTGTGTTTATGTGTATGAACGTGGAAACTGAGGGCTGGCCCAGCTGACATATCTACAAATCTAGTCTTTTCTAAGTGGAACCAAAAGTCCCTGGAGAGGACAGGTGCTATGTGGCACACAGCATCCACCCAGCAGGTCCAGCCAAGTCAGCTTAGGCCATGTGTTGGGAATGCGGCACCTTGATGAGAGCCATGCAGGGGAGGAAGGCCTCTCTGCAGATGTGAAGGTCTCACCAGCTGGAAACCACAAGCAGGAACATGTCATTGCAGACCTCACTGCTGTCCCAACAGGAGCTTGGCCAATGCTGGGGTATGAAGTGAAGATAAGCAAAACAAGCCAGCTGGGAACTGAGAAGCCACTACAGTCCTGGCTTGAGGGCTGCAACTGGGCCTAAAGGAACAGCCATGGGTCCTGACAGAAACCCAGGATGCTGACAGTCACGTGAAGCCTTGAAGACGTGGGGGACTTCTGGGCAAAACACAGGGCAGGTGTGACTCGAAGGGTCGTGGTATGGGGAAGGAAGCCCACGGAGAGGTGGACCCTTCAGGGAGGCCCTGAGGCTACTGAGTTCATGTTGGAGTGTCCAGGGAAAACTAGGAGGAGAAAGGCTGGGAGCCAGAAGGGAGGAGAGAGAGAGAGAGGAGGGGGAGGGAGGAGGGAGCGAGAGAAAGGGAGAGAGAGAGGGAGGGAGGAAGGGAGGGAGGGCAGGAGGAATGTAAGCCCTTGAGACAAAACGGTTGAAGGCAATGTGTCAGAAAAGGCTTTGGTGTTCAGAAAGTGAACCAGAGGATTGCAGGTGGAGCAACCATGCTCAGATGGACATGTAGATGGATGGATGCAGAACGCAGGTTAGAGACGAAGAAAGTGATGGAACACTGGTAGGGAGACGAAGACGGATGCAGACAGAAAACAGGAGCAAGGAGTTCAGGAGGCGACTGCTGCAAGCCTGTGTTGTCCCAGCTCAGCACAAAGTGAGCTCTGTCACATAGCAAGAAAACAACCTCTCTCGTTATTTTTTATTAAAAAAAAATTAAACCAGAAGATGTGACAGGTGGCAAAGCCATCGTGCATGAGATAATTATATCTCTGGGGCACTGAGAATCCTAGCCAAGTGCCTTTACTGCTCTGAACCGTTAGCTAATAACCTTTTCCCACCCCCAAGGCTGCTTGCTAGGGCTGGAGTGTTTAATCACACGTTAACAAAGTGTGTGGGAGGGGGACCAGGAGCCAAGGGCAGCATTTTTATTTAGAGCCACAGTTTAATGGGGGAAACAAATGTTTTCCAGCTGCTAACTGGGTGATGGAGAATCGAGGTCTTCTCTTCCCCAGCAGGGCCATGCTGAGCTTGGGGACCTTCAGGGTCTTAACTAGGCTTACTTTTGGACAGTTGCCTCTCTTTGCTGTTAGCCATAAGCCAAAGTGGATGACTGTGGCCTTCAGTCTCATGACTCTGTCTACAGAGCCTGACCTGGCCCCAGGCCTTCTCTTAGAAATGTCTCAGTGATCCTCTCAGGGGTGTCCTTCAATGCAGACCATGTGCTCTTTCCTTTAAGGCTCTCTCAGTCCAAGGGGGTCATAAGCAAAAGTGGGTTCTTAAAACCCCAAATCATATCTCCCAGGGAAATGACTCTGGGATGTGGGCACAGAGGGGCATCAGAGCTGAGGTGACTTTTTGAAATGACATCCTGGTCCTAGTTCCAGCATGGTCATGAGCTATGGGCCCTTCCTTGGCATTTTGGCACATTCAGAAGAGGAGGAATGGAGCAGAACTTTCTTTTCCACTTAGTTACAAGTCCTGATGTATAACCCTTGACACCACACTTGAAGACTTATTTTTCGTTGTTGTTGCTAATCTCAGGGGATTGTGAGCATAATTTTAGGCTCACTGGGTCAGTTCATCCCCTTTTAAGTACCACATTACTTAAGCGCCCCTACTTAAGAGAGGGGAGGGTATTGCTCAAGTGGCAAGTGTCTAGAGACAAAGGAAAACCCTAACTCTTAGAGAACTGTGGCTAGAACTCTGTAAAGCCCAAGGGTTTTGATTCTTCCATACTGCCTTGAATAGCAGGGATCCCATTTCATGAAAACAGAGGACCCAGTTGCTCAGCAGCCTCACCTCTTAGGAAGTAACTATTAGCTCAAGGTTTGGAAAGCTGGTCCGTCTCACTGTGTGAGTAAGCAAACTGGGGAGTCTATGGCAGCCTGGTGTCATGGCCCCCACTCCACACCCTGGGTTGGCTGATGTGTGGCAAATGCTTCCTCCTACTGGTTTTTAAACCACTTCAGATTCCTCAGCACAGTAGAGGCTCTAGCTTCTCCAAATCCCAATGGGGGACGCACAACTTGCTCAGAAGTCTTCTTGGCTTTTATCATTATTGTCCTAGTGAGGTACAATTCCCACCTCATGTTTTAAATGGTTTCCTGAAGAAGAGCTAGGAGGTGGACAAAGTAACTGACACTCAAGACCATCAGAGCAATTCTACTGGGTTGGACCTGAAGTAGCTTCAACCCAAGATACTTTCACTGCCCAGGCCTCCAAGCAAACCTTCTAGGGAACCATGATTTTCTTTGTTGATATTAAGGTTCAAAATTAGAGATGAGCCCCAAACTCCTTTCCTTTTGCTTAACTATTTACTTCTTGGGGGCCTATTTATATTTCAGCCTTTCTCCCCTTCTTAGAGTAATGAGCACAATATGTTTACTACCTGCGGTATGAAATAGTATCTCCCTGAATTGTCCCAGTTTGCCTTTAACGTAAGTCAGATGGCACTGCAGTCACCATCCAGGCTGACACACATCTGACTCAGCTTCCTTGATGCCACAACTTCAACACTGTCCACAGCTGTTATTCCTAGAAGGGTAATGGACCTTGTCATCACAGAGCACTGCTTCAACAACTGGGTGCTGAACTCAGTAGCTCCACATTCTGGCCAGATTCTCCCTCTCTATTCATCTTTCTGCTCTTGCTCCGAACCCAATCTTTGCCCTCACTGGGTCTTCCCCATCATTCACCCCCTTCCAGGGCTCCCAGGCTAATGCCAGGCTTAACTTCCAGTTCCCAGCTTGGCACTAGCGGCACATCAATGTTGCCCTCAACACACGGCCTGGGACTTGTACTTTGCTTGCCTTGCTACACTGCCACCCTGGTTCACACGGCTGTCTGTTTTTAGTGCCTCTGGGCCTTGCAGGCTGCCAAAAAAAATCTGTCGAATCATTTCGCAAGGCTGCCTTCACATTTACGATGTCAGGCTCCACTGTGGCTTCAGCACTGCTCGGTGATCGTTTAGTGACCTCTTGGTGACTCACTAGCTTGAATCTTCTGTACTATTCTTCAGGTTCCTAGGACACCTAACCCCCACTTTCTGTAACGAGATGACAGATAATTTGGTTTGACTCCTATCATTGACTCTCTGTATCAGAGCCTATTTCTGATTCTATATTCTTTATAGACTACAGAGTTTGAGAGCTTGGAAGGGATCCTTAGATGTCACCTGGAACTATGGTTTGCAATTTATCGGGTTGTATAATGTTTTCTTCTTATGAAATCTTACATGGAAGCCCAAATGAACAAGAGTTGAAAGTGGCTCCCAGGAGTTCTGGGCCTCTGCTAGGAGTCCCGGAGCCAACAATCAAGACAACTCCTTTGTGTCCCAGAGGGCAAGACCAAGACTCAGAGGGGAAGTGCTTTGGTTGAGGTCACATGGCTTGTTGGTGGCTGACTGGGACTTGATCCAGGACTCCTGATGCCAGGTCTGTTTTTCTATCTTCCAATTAGTCCCAGAGGTAAGGAACTTCTTCATCCTGTGTAAATCTAGCATCTCCAACTGTGTCTCTGAAGTCAACCTTCTCTTTTTAGGCAATGTCTTGCTATAATCACTCATTTCCATCCCAGCATCTATAGACCCTCCATTTTCATTGGTCGCTTCTTTGCCCCAAAGACGGCCCCAGTGTTTTACTATGATGAAAAACAAGTTCTCACTTGGCCATTGCTGCCTCCTTTTTACCATCTTATTTTCTCCTCTCGCTTCCATGGCCTCACTTCTGGAGCGAGTGCCCTAAGCTGGCTCCTTCCCACCCTTCTCCTTCACTAAGACTCCAGCTCCCGCAAACAAGTCCTGTAGAGTGTGGCTCCAGAACCCACGACCACTTTCTTCATCTCCATGTGTGACTCTAGCCTGAGCCAGCATCATCTCACACCTCACTAACTGCCATCAAGGCTGCTGCCCTGTGTTTCACTGTGTTCTCTAGTGGCCTCACTTCTACCCATTCTTTCCCTGACATCCAAGTGATCCTTCGAGAATGCAAAACTAACCCAATCAACCTCCCTTGCCAGTTCCATGTTCTTGTGACTTCTCACAGTCTTGTGATAAAGACAAAGATCATTAGGGGCCTACCAGGCCATGCCCTTCCTCCAGCCTCCCCTTCCCCCCTCCCCCACCAATATGCCCTGGCCTCCCAGTTCTTCCATCCAAGGGCCTTGAAACACACTGTTGCCTTTGACTGGAACATTCTTCCTTACTCTTCCTCAATAATGTATGTTTACTCTTCAGTTCTCAGTTTAAATTTAATTCTTCAAAAAAGTGTTTCCTAACTTGCCAGTCTAACCTGTTATTAACCCTACTACTTAGCTACTTTTCCTTCTTAACACTTATCCCTATTTCTATGACTTATTTACTTGTTTAATGTCACTTCCACACCAGATTATAAACTCCAGTGAAATGGTATCAATTTTTTTCTCCTGCTATGCATCACCATCACTGTGCACCAAGCTGGGCACACTGCTGAACGAATGTACAAATAAACAGTTCTCTCTTGAAACTCTTTCTCCCATGGCCTTCCTGCAAGTGCTGCTGTCTGGTCTCTTAACACTTCTTCATCTGTTCCACTTACTTGTTCTTATTCTTCTGTCTGTCAGGTTCCCAAGATTCAGCCCTTGGCCAACCCTCATACTATAGCCTCATTAATAGTTTTTACACCGATAACCTCAAGTGTGTGGCTCCATTCTTGTTCAGAGCCGCGCCTTGGACCTCCATATCCTGTTGCCTGCATGGTACCTACAGGTCCCTTGGTTGGACCCTTGTTTCTGGACCGGGGACTGCGGGGACGGATGGGAAAAAATTTTACTTCAGCATCCTTACTGTTTTCTGTCTTCAAACTTTGATGTTTCCTTCTTCTTCATCACCTCCCTCTCCCCAACAAAATATCATATTGCAGCTCCTTTTTCTCTCTGCTCCCACCCCCTCAGGGACCATCTTCATCAGCCCTTCTCACTACATATAAATTTTCACCCTGACCTCATCTGACTACACAAGCCTTTTAACTCTTAGCTCTAAAAATGCCAGTCCCTCACTGTCTCCTCCCCATCACACTCGGTTTTAGCCCCCAGCCTGTTCTCACACTGTTTCTCCCACCAGGAATCTTGGCAGTCTTATCCCATGGTTGTCTGAGTGGGGTGGGGCTGAGTAGAGAGATGGGGAAAGACCATAATTTATTAAGCATATATTATAATCCTGGCACTCTGTCCAGGTATTTTATGCACAGAGTAGAAGCATAAATGTGGATCTTCATAAGGATAACAAGGACCATTTCTACAGAGCTCCCCCAGCCTGCAGAATGTGTCCTCAAGGAAATGACAGATATACTAGAGGTGCCAGCTTCCCTCTCTGGAGGATAATCATGTTCTCCTTCCAACAGATCTCCATGCTCTCCTGGAATGTACTCGCAAGTGACTTCCTAGGGTTAGGAAGTTCTCTGGTCTCCCCTGGTTTGCAACTTGGGCTATGCCCCAAAGCCTGAGTTGCAGGGTCCTCCACCATCTTCTCTACAACCTTCCTTGGTGTCAAGACCACAGAAAGGCCTGACAGACTTAGAAGGTTCGCTGGGGCCCATTTGCAAAAACTTGAGTGCTTGCTTTGTATGGCAGGAGAAGAGGGAAAGGCTTGGACTGCTGCTTAAAAATGTAATTAGTCCCGTATTTTAACAACATTTTGACAATAATTGCTTCCCAATGATGCCAAGAAATCTGCAGTGCAGACTCCCTGGTGCCACTGTCAGAGTGAGTGATGCTGAAAGCCCTGTGTAGCCTGGAAATAGAAGTTGCAAGAGCCAGTTTGTTCCTAAGCCTTGTTTTCCCTTCTCCTTTCTCGGAGACCATTCTCAAGGTTGGCATGGCTTGTGTTCAGACTCACCTACGGAGGATATTTTTAAAGAGGTTGGGGTTTGCTCAGCCTATTAAGTCGTTTCAGGGATGAAGGGTGAAATGAGATGCTGTTCCACTGATGGAGCAATTTAGAAACTCATTTCATTTGGGACTGGTCCTACTCAGAGCCTTCCGTATGCGGTGCTTTTTAGTGACCGGGGTGAGCTTACAATTCTTACGCCACCAAGCCAACAGGAAAAGCAGGCTCCACTTCCAAGAGCAGACCCTAAATGCTCCAGGAGGCCTCATGCCCAAGGTCAGTGTGAATCCCTGACAGAATAGGACTTTAATCTTTGGACTCTGCTGAGATGCTGGTAATAGAATCAGCAGTTTGCTTATTTTTAGCAGTTAAACTATTTTTTCCCTTCATTTTTTTTTTTGGTGGGGGAACATTTCCCAGGGACTACTGGTTTCCATTTTTAAGATCAAAGATGGGTGATTGTGATAGTTCATGAGTGAATTGTTCTTCTGTGTACCCGGCCCAATCTTGGGCCAGTCGGCTCCCCAAAGCCTGGGGCCTGGGATCTGCCCCAGGGGAAGGGAAGCTGTGGGCATCTAGGCTGGAGCTACTTTTGGACGAGGCGTCTGGCCACATTACAAGCTAAGCACAGGTGAATTTTGTATTACCTGCACTTTAGGCATCTCTGTTTCCCTTCACTAGGTAGGTAACTAGAGTTGCAGAGAAGGACCAACATGTTGATTATCTCCCAGGGTATTTTCTTACCTGTTTGCTCCTCTTCCAGGTCACATTTACCAAAATGGAAAGGGTGGTTAGCAGGACCCAGGGACCCTCACATAGGTGCCTCATGTGACAGGGGGCGAGGGGGCTGGGAAGAAACAGACTTCCGAGCCACCGCCAACCTCCCCTCACTGTCCCCCTAGCCCTGTCCTGTATTTCTCTGATGTAATGGACAGGGGCTCCAAATCCTGAGTCAGACTGTCACAGGAGTGCAGAATCAGAGACTGGCCTTAATATTAAGACTCCTCCCCCTGCCACGGAGCCATACTCAACACAAGGGCCCTCTTTCCCCACACAAGTCACTGCCTGAGTTTTCTGTTCCTCTGACTTCTGCCTCACCCACGATGGGCCAGCCCATTGTGACTTCAGGACACAGCATCCCTCCCCGCATCCCTGGAAAAGCCCGAGTCCCTGGGCTCGCCGTGCCTACTCACGCCAGCCTGGCCCCGCAGTTCTCTCCCTCGATGTCACCTCCAGCCACGTTTTCGGTGTTGACAGACTCGGTCTCGCTTGTGGGCATGCTCACTACAAGAGTCAAAGGGATGCAGAACAAGGCATTGAGGGTGGGGAGGAAAAGGGGAGAGAAGTGCATTAGTTTGCAAAACACCCAGTCCCAAGACTGTGGGCTACTTGGGAGGAGGAGAACCTGAGCAGCATCTGTTAGTTAGGGGAGCAGCAGTGCTGCTGTGAGCAGGTTGGGGCCTGCCACGGCCAAGTTTGGGGGTTTCCTTGACTGTCACGCCTGCTGCTTGTCTAGGGTGAGTTTAACTAGTGGGACTTACTTCCTGAAAACACTGACCATTGAATCCTTTCCTACCCTCAACTCTGTGCCCTCAGAAAAGCTGTGCAAGCTTTTCCATTTGTATTCACTATGAGCCATAAAAAGAGGAGCTTTCATGAAAATATTTTATTTTGCTTTTTTCCCCACCCACCAATTCTAAGGGATTTCATCCCCAAACTTAGGGTCCAACTTGTTTGTAGGAAGGATGTTTTTGCTGCCTCATGAAGTACTAGATGGATGTGGAAGACTGCCCCCCTACTTGTAGTGGACACTGGATCCTGAGTCAGTTCCATCTAGGACTGTACCTGAAATAGGTAGCTTGAAATAAATGACTATTACCAGAATCGGGTACTAAGATTCAAACTTGCACTACAGACACCAGGAATAGGGAACATAATCATGGAATCCACCAATTAAGTTTAAATGTGACTTGAAGATAGACTGCAGGTAGACTGGGATGTCATTTCCCCTTCCAGCAATCCTGACGTTCCGACCCCAGCAGGCTGACTTGGGATATAAACCATCTAATTCCACTGGTGCCAATCTGTCTGGTCAATCTCCGCTTCCTTCCCAAGGCAGCAGTGAGCTGCATTTCCAGAGTGGCAGGAATTTTCTAGCTTGGAACCCAGTGTAGGGGCTTAGAGAAGCCATTATTTTATCATTATTTTTTATTTCAAATAGAAATTTCACTCAAGAGAATTCTTCCTCCTTACCTTCTCTTACCCTTTTACTATGATGCAAAAATGAGTTTTATTTTTGGCAACCCTTGTTCTTCAGAATGGCCATTACGGCATTGGTCCTGGTCCGTTCTCCTTGCAGAACAGAACTCCTCATGTGGTGAGAAAATCACTAACTCTCAGGAGCCACACAATCTGCAGTTAGAGTGTGGCATCAGGTGATGTGACACCTTGTACAAGTCCCCATGGGGCCGCCACAGCCCAGGAAAAGCTTCTACTGGTTATATGGATAATATCTTTGGATGGAGATTTTCCAAGGTTCATTTCTTTTGGATGAAGACAAGATGGGTGGGTGAGAAGAGACTCATTTTAGGAACATGCAAGATACAAATAGAAAGCCCATGACTTAACATATGTTTGACTGTCATGTACGAGAGACCTCTCTACCCTAGGACTCATTTTTAATACAGTTGGGTAAAAAGAAATCTGGATGCCATTTCAAAGAAGGTTGGCACTGGATGTGACTTTAGATATTACCCTGCTCTAGCTTACTCCCTTCACTTTATAGGACAGGAAAGTGAGGTTTAGGGAAGGGAAGATGCCCAAGTTCACACAGTGTATTTGGGGGTAGGACTTGGTCATGAGTACAAGTGTCATAACCCCCTGCACCATGCTTATCTTGATTGCCCCTCTATTGCCCCTCCCTACTCTATACTTTAAGACAAGATGAGGTTCTTATAGCCAGATCAGGCTCTGGAAGCATCAAAGGCGCATGGTGAATAGCCAAATAGTGGTGTTGAATTTTGCAGCATTTACACACCCTTTGTAGCCTGAGGTCTGAGGGAGCTGGTGTGTGAGGCCAGACCTTAGGCATGGTTTTAGCACTGGGAGCTAGGAAGACAGCACCTTCAGAGCTTACCAGTTTCTTTCCTCCGTCCACACTAAGGAAGAAGTCATACACTGAAGAGCCTTCAGTCCTTTCAAACCATCTATCTCTGATCATCTCTGACCTAAGGTACCTTTCACTCTTCAGGCATCATTGTTTAAAGTTAAAGAGCTCTGGGGGTGCCTGGGTGGCTCAGTCAGTTAAGCGTACGACTCTTGGTTTTGGCTCAGGTTGTGATCTCAGGGTTGTGCGATCAAGGCCCACATTGGGCTCTGTGCTCAGTGCAGAGTCTGCTTGGAATTCTCTCTCTCCCTCTGCTCCCCCCCACCACTCTCTCTCTTAAATAAATAAATAAACAAAATCTTAAAAAAATAAAGTTAAAGAGCTCTGACTTTGTGACACTTTGCTCCCAGAGAGCCCCTTATGTGTTAGTGGAGTGGTATGATGGTGGTGGTGCTAGGCTTGGAAATACAACCAAGTTAGGAGTGGATGGGCTTGGCCTTTAGGAGGAACCATATCATCTCGTAAATCAAGGAACTGCCTGTACCAGTACCAAGTTGGCATTTACAGTGACCTTAATCTTGGCTGGCACTATCCAAAGGAAGTGTTCCATCAAGGAATAGCAGCTGCTGATTGTCATGTCTGCTGACTTTATACATATGAAGAGATGATAGGGCAGTGGCTTTGAGTGGGACAGATTACCATCCCCTTATAGATACACACACACACAAACACATACATACACATACACACACATACAAATACACATTCATGACCACTGCATCACAAGCCATCGAGAAAAACACCAGTTCGGTATGTACCAATGCTCATTTACACACATAGAGCGCAGGGGAACATTACCATGGGTTTCTGTGGAGTGACTAAACCAAGCAAACTTCCCTTTCTTCTGATTAAGCAAGCCCGCTGGTGTGCCTCCTTTCACAGACAAGATGGTCATGTCAAGAACCGGGAATAAGACATCAATAGAAAGCATGCAGTCAGCCATGGGCAAAAGAAAGAAACAAGGAACCCAGCTTTCAGATAGAACATCCATTTTCATCTTTGAACATAAACTAAGAAAACTGTAAAAAGCAATAAACCAAAACACATAAGAAAACATAACAAAGTAGAACCCAAACCCCAAATCACATGAATTAATGACACAAAACAAATGATGGACCCTGAGGAGAAGGAGTTACTCCAGCAGAAGCTTCAGTCTACACTGGTCTATCTAGTTAGTGGCTTTGCGGGAAGAGCTTCCTGGGAGAGGCCACCACTCATCCCTGCTGCCTACAGTCTCCAGTAGGGTAACTGCTAGAATCAATCGATAGCATTGGTGCTCCCCCTTCACTCCTACCCGATGGCCAGGTGACCTGACCTCTTCCCCACCTGTAGTGGATCTACCCCTCCTCCCTCACCACTTATATTCAGATCATGCCTCTTGCAGATGAAAAACAGCCCATGGATCTACTTGCCCCTTTGTCCAATTCAACTACTTAGTCCCATTCAGTAAAGAACCACCAAGTGTTTCAGGCCTAATAATATCCAAAACCTCTATGTATCTGCTTTTAATCAGTTTAAATAGGCGAAGTAGTTGCTCAGTTGCTTGTCAATGGACAGTCTTTTCAGGAGTTTGGTGTATAAGGGAGAAGAATGTTATAAGCTTCTTTTGGCTCTGGGCTATAGTTGAAGAAGAGGGTGCTAGGGAGATTGTAAAGACACTGATGACCACAAATGGAAGAGGGGGAGCTCTGTATTCTGCAATAGACTTTGAGTTCTGGATGTCAAATGCTTTATCTAATTCCAGAGAAAGAGAATTTCCCCACTCTATTTGACAAAACTAGTATGAACCACACCTCTGCCAGGCCTCTACGGAGGGTGCTTGGCATGAGTGGTGAGTGAGGCTTAGTCACACCTTATTAATGACGTGGGAAATCTGCTACCACTCAGGAAAGGAAGCATGTGCCCTGGTGGGGAATGGGTAGGTGATCTCATTAGTTCCAGGAAAGGGCATAAAGGGAAGGTCAATCCAAGTTTTTAGGTGCTTCTTTATTTTATCCACTTCCCCTGGAACTTGGATCACCTTCAATGAGCATCCTTGAATGCTGCTTGTTAGTGAGAATTCTGAAGACTTGTTCACGAAAAAAAGGATCAGTCTTATTTTTAACCTAGGTAAAGGGCCATGTCCCAACCACACATCTTTAAAATACAAAGCTTGGAAAAAAGAAAAAAAAAAAACAAAGCTTGGAATAAGCAGACACTTCTCAAAAACCCCATATGAAAAAAGCACTGAATGTTAGGAGCTGAAATGAGGTTTGGTTCCAATTTGCCTTCTAGCAAAAGATATGTCTCAGCTTAGAATGATAACAGTTACTGAAGTAAGCATCTCATAACGAGTAGTCTTTTTTTCGGAGGTGTAAAGGGGTCAACCTGAGGCTGCCAGTCACCAAGTTTCTGTCTGTTCCCGCGGTTGTCTGGGGGAACAAGAGCCCTGGCCAGTGATGGAAGGCCCAGAACACTGTGACCTGTTATAGAGAAGCATTATTCAGCTTCTGGCCTTGGCGTCAGTATTGCCCCATATTTTTTGATTTCAGAAATAACTGCACAATAACTTTAAAAACCATAGAAAGAGCTTGATAAAAACATGGTCGTTCAGTGTATGACCGAATTTGACCAGGGCTGGTCTTTCAGCCACAGGTGTGGAACGTGATTTGAAGAACACGTAAATCCTCTCCTTTCAGAGTGTGCTGTAATGTCTGCTAGATCTGCTCTTTTGGGTAAAGTCATATATCTGAAGCTTCCTTGTTGAAATGAAAATCTCTCACCTGGAAGGAGTAGCACATTAACGTATTGGTGCCTATTTGTGATAGTTTATCCCAAAAGTCCCTGAGGGAATAAAATGGGTGAAAATGCAGTTTGTTCCTATTCCCAAGGGATCAGACGGCAGGCTCGTAGTTGATCCTTTAAGGGATTTGTCGCCCTAGGGAGATGGACTTGCATTCCATCTTGGAGTCGGAGTGCCCAAACTGTTGAAAGCTGAGAATTACAAATGCTGGAGAGTTATTTGGTGGATGAGCTGGAGACTCTGCCTCTTCCTGTGGCCACTCAGATGATGAACCGGCTGGAAATTAAGGCAGAAAGACAGCAAAGAACGCAGGTGCCTGAGGGCACCTCTCCTCTA